CACTCACTCTGTTGTTCTTCAGTGGGAGCCAGGCTGGGTGTCAACAAAGGAAGTCCTGTGATTCTCCCGGGGCTTCGATTCCTCAGTGGCACAGAGCTGCACTCACTGGACTCTCATCGAGTGTGTGTGTGTGAGTGTGTGTGTCACGTGACAAAGGTGTATAAAAATGCATGGACCGATGTCCATTAGTTTGAATGGCGCTCGTCTCAGTGATGGGACTCGTTCACCTTGTGCCCCCAGTGTGAGAGCTGATACTTGTCACAGAAGTATCAGCTCTCCTGATGTCAGTGAACTACCCACCTGTGTTTTGCTCAGACAGTTAAGCCTTTTCCATTCATTTTATCTTCACTCCATATCTGAAACGGTAGCTGAGGAGGTTCCAGTTCAACAGTTCTACCCAGAGTGTGTGTACGTATGAGTAATACTTCACACGTCCAGGCCAAATATTCCTGACACTTCTCATGTTTTGCCCTGGTCATATAAACCAAGGCCCAGCTTTGAACTCCACTCTGTAAAATGGTCACCTCCAAAACTAATTTCACACCTTTTCGGTTTTGCAGGAGCCGAGAGATGGAGCGATGAGGCGGAGCAGACAAATGGAAACGAGAAGAAGAAGAAGAAGAAGGAAAAAGGTGAGAATGACAGGAAATAAGTCAAGAAGAAGAAAAACTCATGCCGCTACTGCTACTCCTGCTGCAACATTTTTGATCGTATGACTGTGCAGTGAGAGTTTCTCTGTGGAAAAAAGGAAAGTGAACAACACACCACTGCACACAGTGAAATGTGACCTCTGCATTTAACCCATCACCACAGTGAACAGTGGGCAGCTTTTTGAGTGTTTGGTGTTTGGTGTTTGGTGTTTGGGCAGATGATGGATGGATGCACTTCGAAGTAATCTTTCTCAGTATCGTGACAAACAGAAGTTTACTGCATAAGTACTAAAACTGACAAAAGTAGGAACCGTACACGAAAAAAACACCTTGAACGCACACTTCCAACAC